GCCTGGCCGTCTGGCCCCCGGGGTGTCTGGAGCCAAAAGCTTCACTAGTGGAGCGCGCAAAAGAAGGGAAAGACGGCATATACACACACACACACATCCATATATATATATATATATATATATATATATATATACCAGGGAACGGGACCTGGGGCCGCCAGGTTGGTGCCTCGGACCCCCATGGGGCCACGGGGCTCACTTTCGCTGTGTTTTTACAGGGCTTCGGCGTTCCAGGGCCTCCGAGGGAGGCCGCCAGGAGTGGACCTGCGCCCCCTGGGGGCTCCGGGGCTCACTTTCCCTATGTTTTTACAAGGTTTCCGCGTCCTGGGCCTCGGAGGCCGCCGCCTCCGACCCCCCGTGGGAGGACGGGTAGAGGCTCCCAAGGCGGCCCAAGCGGGCCCCGAGTCGCCGAAAGACAGCTCCAGGACGCCCAAGATAGGCCCAAGACGGCCCGAGAGGCCCCCCAAGGCACTCCACGACGCTTCAAGACGCCTCTCCAGAGCGCTTCAAGAGACCGACATCGTCAATTTTACGAAGGTTTTCGAACGATTTTGGCCTTCCAGCCTTTTCGGCCGTCTGACGTCCAAGACGGCTCAATAGGCCCCCAACAGCGCCCCACGACGGCCCAAGAGGGCCCGAAGACGGCCCCAGAGTCGCCCAAGACAGCCCAACAGAGCCCCAAGACGGCCCCAAGATGCGCTCAAGAGGGGGACCGGGGGACCACGACTCCAAGATTTGACCCTCCCGCTTGAAGAGTTCCCCAGGAGGCCCCAAGGAGCCCCCTAGAGGCCCCAGGAGGCCCCCAAGAGGCACCCAGGAGGCCCAAACGAGGCCTAAAGAGGCCACAAAACAGCCCCGAGGAGGCCCCACAACGGTCCCAAAACGGCTTCCGAGAAGCTGTGAAATTGCCTTCACGACGTCCCCGACATGCCAACCACGAGATCCAAACCAACACCCATGAGGCCTCTGACCCACCACCCAAGGCACGGCGGCGGGAGCAGTGACAGCACTTGTGCACAGCATGTTCCGGAGGGAGCCTTCCGGAACACGTTGCAGGAGGAGGAGGAAGATCAGGAGGAGAGAGAGCTGGAGTGGGAGGAGGAGGAGGAGGAGGAGGAGGAGGAGGAGGAGGAGGAGGAGGAGGAGGAGGAGGAGGGGGACGAGGAGGAGGAAGAGGCCTCCAAGACAGCTCCAAGATAGCCGAAGAGGCTTCCAAGAGGGCCCTGGGCGGCCCAAGAGGGCCCCAAGGCGGTGCCTGAGGCGCCCAAGACGGCCCGAGAGGGCCCCAAGACGGCCCCAAGAGAGACCCATGAAGGGAAACACGAACTGAGAATCCGAGCTTCCTACCCCGAGAGGTTCTCGGGAAGTCCCAAGAGGCCCCCACTCGGATCCAAGAGGCCCCCAAGAAGCTCCCAAGAGGGCCGACGAGGTTGCAAGAGATCTCCCAAGGTGGCCCCAAGAGGCACAACTCATTGTTTTACGATTGGGCTTTGACGGGTTTTAATTTTTGTCGGCCTTTTGGCATCCCGATGCTCCAAGACGGCTCAAGAGGCTTCCAATACCGATCCAATATAGAGGAAGAGGCCTCCAAGAGGGCCCCGAGACGGCCCGCGAGGGCCCCAAGACGGTGCTTGAGGCGCCCAAGACGCGCCCAAGAAGGGGAACGCGACCCAGTAGCAGAGCGTTCCCCCCAAAAGGAAGGCCCACAGGAGGCCGCAAGAGGCCCCCAAGTGGTCCGACGAGGACCCCAAAAGCTTCCCGAGGCCCAAAAGGCCCCTAGGAGAGGTCCAAGAGGTTTTAAAATTGCCCAAGAGTGCCCTCGATGCGTCAAAACTGCTTCCAGGAGGCCCCCGGGAGGCTTCCGGATTGCCTCAATCTGGCCGCAGGTGGCCTCAAGTCGGGTCTCCACGCAGCCAAGACGGCCAATGACGGCTTCAGATTGCAGAGCCGATGCCCCCAAGGCACCCAAGAGGTGCCTCCAACTTCCAACAGCCAGTTGACGAAGCATGCGGAACACCCCAGAAGCTCCTCAGATGCCGTCGCGCGCCTGTGCTTGATAGCGTTGTCCAAGATCGTCCAGCGCCCCCCCAGCCTGGGCTAGAACCTGAGCGCGCGCGATGGTTCTAGTATATATATATATATATATGTGTGCACATATACATATCTATACACATAGCTGTATGCATTATGGATCGCTTAATAATCGCGCCCCCTTGGAGTGCCCAGGGGGTTGGCCGCGGCGCGTCCGCGCGGGTGCCAGGGGGGGTCTGGGGTTCGTGCTCTTTCCCGCTAGGGAGCGGGGGTGGTGCTGGGGGGGTTGGCCGCTCCGCGTTTTCACGTTTGTCACCCCCCCGGGCCGTGTATACGTCCGTACGTTTGAGTTGCACATGCTTGAAAATGCGACAACGCCACAACCCTTTCCAAACAGAAGAAGGCTCAGTGCTTTTGGCCACGTCGGGCCTTCCGGCGAAGCTGCGGCCAGGCAAGGTGCCGGTCAAATGATCAACCCATCCTTTGCTTGGGTTTTTTTGGTGTACTTCAATTTTCGTTTGCGTCGCAGGGCCCTTCCAAGGCTGCGGGATGATTTGAAAACGGCTCTCGGCGAAAACCTCGTCTTGGGGAGCAGGCCCTGGGGTCCAGGCCCCGTCTTCCCACAGGACCCGTCTGCTGCATGCCAAGCGGACGTCGAGGCGCAGCAGAGGGAGGCGCTGACGGCGGCGCCATGTGCGTGCGCCGAGGCGCCCCAGGATCGGTTACGATCGGAAGGGGCTCTCTGGATCGCTTAATAATCGCCCCCCCCTTGAAGTGCCCGGGGGAGTTGGCCACACCGCGTCCGCGGGGGTGCCAGGGGGGGTCTGGGGTTCGATCCCTTCCCTGCTGAGGCGCGGGGGTGGTGCGGGGGGGGTTGGCCGCGCCGCGTTTTCACGTTTGTCCCCCCCAGCTGATTAATAACAAGTTCAACGTACGGAAAGAGTGTGGGCGAGGTCCAGGGCGAGGCCCATCTTTGAACAGGATTCGCCGTCGGTGTCGCCGTGGACGTTGCCCATACTGTGTCTTTTACTTCTCTCTGCGCCGGTGGGACGGTCTCACCGCGATCGGAGCAGCAACCCGGCTGCGGAGGTGCGAATTACGCACAGGAGAGGCGCGGGCGAGGAGAAGCAGTTTCGGATCGGGGGGGAAAGAGAAAAGGCGCACGACGCTCGCCCAAACGCCGCGAGTTGCTATTTCAGCGACGCAGGAAACCGGCGTCGTATGCACGGACACTGTCGGGTCAATTGCCCGCGTAAGGTCGCTCGTGAGCGCCTTGTTTCCCATGTGGCGTGCCGCGCCGGCGGCCCGCGCAAGCCACGGCGTCCGTCCCGCTTCGTTTCGCCGCTCGTTTGGGCGTCGTGCCCGCGTTTCCCGTGCCCGCCTCAGCCGACAGGAGGCGGAACCGCACCGCTTCGGCGGCGGGCTCGGCACCTGCTGCTGCGGAGCGGCTGGGCAGCCACCTGCGAGCCTTCCCCCCCCTTGGGCATCGGCTGCGCGCAGGAGTGGCCCTCCGCAGGAGGGCCCTCGTCGTCGTGGCCTCTGCCAGTGCTCCCACCAGTGCTAGTACTGCTACTACCACCTGTTCGATCATTGACCCCTTTGCGAATACGGAATATCCGGCTTTCACACCGATGACCGCCGAAGACCGCCGAAAACCGTGTCGGGCACCAGCGCCCTCGGCGGGGCGCGCGCCCGCTGGCGGTCCTCGGCGGTCTTTCTGCGGTCTTCAGAGGCCAAGATGTGTAGCGAGGGGTCCATGATCGAACGCGTAACCACTAGAATCATTCTTGCTAGTGCCATGCCCGCTCCCGCTACGTGACCGTTGCCTCGCCACGTCGGCCGGGCCCCCAACCCACCCGCAATCATGGACGCTACGGTTCAGAGACATAACATCGTTTTTCTTGTCTCGAGGGAGGAGAAACCGCCCTGCCTCTAACGAGGAGGAGTCTCGACGATCCCCCCTGCCTGTCTCAAGGAGTCTCGACGATCCCCCCTGTCTTGTTATTTTCCTGTCTCGAGGAGTCTCGACAATCCCCCCTGCCTGTCTTTTCTAAGCAGCCCTGGGCCCTGGGCGCTTGCGAAGCCGTCCTGCAAGGTTCGATTGCTTACTGTGGTGCGTGTATTGCAGGGCATCGCGTGTGGGGTGCTTGTTATGAGGATGGTCCTTCTGCCCTTCCCTTTGGTGCGCGGCTTTCGGGATGGGCATGAGGGTGCGAACCAAGCACGCAGAACCGCTACTGCCGCGTCACATGCCGCAAGCCGCGCCAAAAAGGTAACTTTTTTCCTGGGCCACTTTTGCGCATGGCCGACTTCATCCGAAACTGGCCGAACGGACGAGTCTTTGATCATTAAGCACAATCCAACCCCGAACCCTAATACCATTATAACTTCGATGCCCAACTTAGATCCCTGGTGCATACGGTGATCCCTAAATATGTGGATGGTTTTGTTTGCGACATCTGCAGAAAAGACTCCTCATCTTCAAAGTGTTGGCCATCCTAATTTCGGTTCCCTTCCGAAGGGCTAGTAGTATTTTCATTGCTAATCATTTGAAGCACAGGCTTTTGCATCCGCCAGTTCGAGGCATAATTGCCGTGGTTCCTGCTCCATCGATCTCAGGATATTCCTGACTTGGCAAGCTCTGGACGCCTTGCGCCCTTATAGCTGATTCTGACTGCACTGCCCATCGATTTGAACCAGTACGGGTCTCGCAGCGAGGTTTCGTATCGCTCATGCCCGCCCGCAGAATCTCAACGCCCACCAGGGAACCCCTGTTGGTTTAGATCGATGGGCGGTAAGGGGTCGGGCTCACACGTGGCTGCCTTGCGGCCGGGTGGCTGGACTCGGAGGAGTGGCTGGAGGGCAGGATCCTGCCGAGCCCCTTGCGCGTTGGTGTCTCTGGCACGCTGGCGTTCGCGTCTGTGGCCGGGGGCCTCTGGTCGGTCGGCGAGCTGGATGACGTGCTCAGCATGATATTCCATGTCATCGCGGCGTGGCTACTGGTCGGCTCCTTTGCGGCCATGATTCTCTCGCTGCTCCTTTGGTACATGGGGCGTCTCATAAAGGGCCTTGTTTGAGGTTCGAAGGCTTTGGTATCTCTTGCTCGGTAGAAGGCTTGCGGAGGGCTGTGGAAGAGAAACGAGGCCGCTTCCGCCAGCGGAAGCCAGCGGAAGCAAAAGTTGCCTTCCAACTAGATGCCAATGCTTTTGGATCCAGGTGTGGAGCCCACCACCTAGAGATGTGGCTGAAGCTCCTCGCGGAGCAGTGCGCTGCGCTGCGAACCTACCCAAAGGAGATCCCGCGCAACATATCTGGCGAGGTGGTCGCCGAGGTCAAGGCAGTGGAGAAGCGGCTCGTGAACAGTGTCGAACTTCTTGCGCGCAAGCTACCGGAGTCAATCAGCCGCGCCATGGCGGAGCACGTTCCCCACATGCACGTACCCAAGAACGCTCCGCACATGACTCGCTGCTTTTCGTGCCGCAAGAGCAGTGCCACGACGTGATGCGCAGTGTCGCGGTTGAGCTTCGGCGTCCCAGTACCCGCCATTTTCCCCCCTCTCCCCTAGTCCTCTCCGCCTTCTCCTCCAAAGGCTCCTGCTCTGATGTACGATGGACTCTTGCTGCTGGGAGTGTTCATCATTTGAGTCCGCATCCGTCTCACATTTTACAGGCTATGGCCTCCACGCCATGCCCTAATGGGTATGAGCAGGCTCTTTCGCGGAACGCGCACGATTCCGGCGTTCATTTCTTGCGTTCGCTCGAATGGTTCCACGCTCACGTTTCGCAAAGGTATCACTCGAAGCGTGGATACGGAAGCGGCTGCGAGCGGGGGGAAGTAACGACAGCCGCGCATTGCTACTCCCTTTCTCATCCGCCTCCTCCAGTCTGCCCTGCGAGCACAGAGGAGTGAGGGGAGGGGTGAGGTTGTCGGGGGAGGTTGGAGTACGCTTAAGTCGGGCGTGCCCCTCTACAGGAGGAATATTTAAAAATAGTCAAGAAATAGTCAGGGGACATTTTTTTGTTTTTTTTGATTTTTATTTAGATTCCCCAATCAGTGCTTGCACTGAAGAGGTCCTAGCGGATATTGAAAGAGAAGGTGAATGTTTCACGCCGATTTTGGTGGCAGGCCGGGTTCCCAGTTCCGGGTTCCCGGGTTCCTGGTTCCCTGATTGATTGTTCTCGGGTTCGTGGTCGATCTTTTTATCGATCGGTCTCAGCATCGACCTTATTTCCCACCTCTCGATCGATCTCACCATCGATCTCACAATCGGTCTCACAATCGATCTCGCAAGCGATCTCATTAGAGATCGCACGAGCGATCTCGCGATCGATCTCCCTATCGATTTCATTGAATCGATTTCACTCTCGGACTCACGAGCGACCTTACAATCATCAACTATCGATGTCACTATCGATCTCACAATCCATCTCAAGATCCATCTGACTAATTTTCAAATCATCCACTGATTGGCTGATTGGGGTTTTCTCAGGTGCAATTTGTTTATTTGTCCCAACCATCCTGTGGTGTTGGGTCCTCGTTTTGAAGAGACGGCGCCCCGCGTTCCTCACCTCCTCCTCCTCCTCCCCCCCCTCCCTCCTTCCATCATCATCATCATCATCATCATCATCATCATCATCATCATCATCATCATCATCATCATCATCATCACCACCGATTTCGGCACACCCCTCACACGTTTCGTGGCCCTATAGGGAGCTCCACCGAAGGCCCCAGTGGCAGGGTCCGCATGCCTCCCCACCACCCATTCCGGCACACCCCTCACACGTTACGTGGCCCCATAGGGAGCTCCACCGAAGGCCCCAGTGGCAGGGTCCGCATGCCTCCCCACCACCCATTTCGGCACACCCCTCACACGTTTCGTGGCCCCATAGGGAGCTCCACCGAAGGCCCCAGTGGCAGGGTTCGCATGCCTCCCCACCACCCATTTCGGCACACCCCTCACACGTTTCGTGGCCCCATAGGGAGCTCCACCGAAGGCCCCAGTGGCAGGGTCCGCATGCCTCCCCACCACCCATTTCGGCACACCCCTCACACGTTTCGTGGCCCCATAGGGAGCTCCACCGAAGGCCCCAGTGGCAGGGTCCGCATGCCTCCCCACCACCCATTTCGGCACACCCCTCACACGTTTCGTGGCCCCATAGGGAGCTCCACCGAAGGCCCCAGTGGCACGCATGCCTCCCCACCACCCACATCACACGTTCGTGGCCCCATAGGGAGCTCCACCGAAGGCCCCAGTGGCAGGGTCCGCATGCCTCCCCACCACCCATTTCGGCACACCCCTCACACGTTTCGTGGCCCCATAGGGAGCTCCACCGAAAGGCCTCACACGGGGCCCCATCCACCCCCATGCCTCCCCACCACCCATTTCGGCACACCCCTCACACGTTTCGTGGCCCCATAGGGAGCTCCACCGAAGGCCCCAGTGGCAGGGTCCGCATGCCTCCCCACCACCCATTTCGGCACACCCCTCACACGTTTCGTGGCCCCATAGGGAGCTCCACCGAAGGCCCCAGTGGCAGGGTCCGCATGCCTCCCCACCACCCATTTCGGCACACCCCTCACACGTTTCGTGGCCCCATAGGGAGCTCCACCGAAGGCCCCAGTGGCCTGGTTCGTATGCCTCCCCAACACCCATTTCGGCACATCCCTCACACGTTTCGTGGCTCCATGGGGATTTCCATTGAAGGCCCCAGTGGCTGGGTTCGCATGCGCCCCCACACCCATTTCGGCACACCCCTCACACGTTTCGTGGCACCATAGGGAGCTCCACCGAAGGCCCCAGTGGTTGCGTTCGCATGCCGCCCCCACACACAAATTTCGGCACACCCCTCACACGTTTCGTGGCCCCACAGGGAGCTCCACCGAAGGCCCCAGTGGCTGCGTTCGCATGCCGCCCCCACACCAACTTCGGTGCACCCCTCACACGTTTCGGGGCCCCAGAAGGAGCTCCACCGAAGGCCCCAGTGGCAACGTTCGCATGCCGCCCCCACACCCATTTCGGCACACCCCTCAAACGGTTCGTGGCCCCATAGGGAGATCCACCGAAGACGGTATTCACACCAGCATTATTCACAACTGCATATGGTTGGGTCCTTCGCCAGGCTAATTATTGTTTGTCCAAAAGCCACTTGTAGGGAGACATGCCCGACCTAAGAGTACGACGAGCTGGTGACGACGTTCGGGGGACGTTGGAGGGGCACGGCGAAACGAGGATGCTCAGGAGGCCACCACGACGAACAGAGGTCTTCGGGTTTTCAGGGTTCTCTCTGTTCTTCCCAACCATCCTGTGGTGTTGGGTCCTCGTTTTGAAGAGAAAGTAGCCGCGTCACTCCTCCTCTCCTCTCCTCCTCCCCCTCCTCCTCCCTCCTCCCACAGGAGCGCCGCCCTCTCTCTTCTCCTCTCCTCTCGATTTCGGCACACCCCTCACACGTTTCGTGGCCCCACAGGGAGCTCCACCGAAGGCCCCAGTGGCTGCGTTCGCATGCGCCCACTGTGCCCATTTCGGCACACCCCTCACACGTTGCGTGGCCCCACATGGAGCTCCACCGAAGGCCCCAGTGGCTGCGTTCGCATGCGCCCACCGCACCCATTTCGGCACACCCCTCACACGTGTCGTGGAGCTCAGTCACACGTGCCACCCGTCGTCACGATCTGAAGAGCTCGTATGGAATTCGTTCGGTCCGTCTTGGGGCTGGCTCGGCCTCCTTTGATACCGTATTGGATGTTAGTTCGGGCCGTCTTGAGCCGTCTCGGGCTCTAGTGGGCCGTTTTGGGCTCCCCTCTGTTGTTTGGTGGGTGTCAGGGGGCCGTCGCGGGGCCGCGTTGGGCAATCGAGTGACTTTCTAAAGCCGTCTCGGATCCCACGGCGTGCCTTGTTGGGCTGTCTTGGGGCCGTCTTGAATGCTTCTTGGCTCATCGCGGGACCTCAAGTAACAGGTGTGATCTTCTCGAAAAGAGGGTTGCGGAGCGCTCGTGGCAGCACGATGGTTGATGATGGGAAGCGCCTTTTCGGAACGAGAAGGTGGTTGGAGTTAATTAGAGGAAATTTAGCTAGATGTAACTTGGTAAGGAGTACATGAAAACGAAGGCGCAAGGGCCAACGAGCTCGAGGTTCAAAGCGGCCCATCGGTCGGTGGATTCACGTTTTGGGCGTTTCGCTTGAGACATCCTCAAACACATGAGGTGGTGAAGGAGTTGGTCCAAGACGTCGCATGCTGGAAAGTGAGGTTCTCGCTCTAGACATCCTCGTCAAACTGACATGTCGAGATCGATGCCGAAATTGTTCGAATATTCAGGAATGGCCATTCCGCTCGCGACATGCTCCAAACACTGAGACGCCGAAGGAGCTGCCTGTACAACTTCTAACATGGTTTTATGTCAAGAATGAGGCTCTCGCTTGAGACATCCTCGAAGCACTGAGATGTTGAGGTCGGCTGCGAAATTGTCGCAATGTTTAGAAACGGCCGTGTCGCTCGAGGCATTCTCGAACACATGAGATGTCGAATGAGTTGTTGGTTTGTTTAATGCGCGTCAGTTGGTTCTTGTTGAGAATGGAGGCTCTCGCTTGAGACAGCCTCGAACCAATGATGAGGATGAGCAGAACGAGGAGGAGGACGAGGAGGGGCATGAGTAGGACGCTCGAAACCAGCGAGTTTGGTGAAGACAGCCGCGGCACATTGGTTGCCGAAGACGGTATAAAACCGTCCCCTAAACACACCCTGTATACACCTTTCATCAAGTCCACCGCCTCCTATAATGGTCACGCTCATCACCATAATCATCCTTATCATCCCCTTCCTCCTCCGCCTCCTCCTCCTCCTCATCATAATCATCCGCATCTACATCATCATAACGCATGGTTCGTGTGCTGCCCGTGGCAATTGATATGGAGGCGCGTTAGTTGTTGAGTGCGTTTGCTACCATGGTGTGGTGTAGGTACTGGTAGTTGTTGAACTGTGATTACGTTTGTCGCGGTCCTTCTGCGATTAAGAGTTGATTCGGTTGTTGTCCGTGGCAATTGACATGTGGGCGCGTGTGCGGTTGAGTGCGTTTGTTGCCATGACGTGGAGTAGTTATTGGTAGTTGTTGAGGGGTGGGTACGTTGGTTGCGCCCCTTCTGCCGTTGACATATGGGTCGTTCGGTGCCCGTTGCAATTGGCATGTGAGCGCATGTGATGTTGTGTGCGTCGGCTACCATGGTGTGGTGTACTTGCTGATAGTTGCTGAAATGTGGATGCGTTTGCTGCGGCCCGTCTGCCGTTAAGATATAGTGCCCGTGGCAATTGGAATGTGGACACGTTTGTTTCTGTGTGCGCTTGCTACTATGATGTGGGGTAGATGGTGGTAGTTGTTGACATGTTTGTGCGTTTCTTGCAGCCCTTCTGCCGTTGAGGTATGGATCGTTTGTCGCCCGTGACAAATGAAATGCGGGCACGTTTGTTGTTGAGTGTTTGTGCTACCAATTTATGGTGTAGTTGTTGGTAGTTGTTGAATTGTGCGTATGTTTGTTGCGGCCCTTCTGCCGTTAAGATATGGGTCGTTTGTTGCCCGTGGCAATTGGAAAGTGGGCACGTGTGTTGTTGAGTGCAGTTGTTATCATGGCGTGGTGTAGCCGCTGGTAGCTGTTGAAATGAGGGTACGGTTGCTGCGGCCCTTCTGCCGTTAAGCTATGTTTTTCTGTTGTCCGTGACAGTTGGAATGTGGGCACGTGTGTTGTTGGGTGCGTTGGCTAACCAGGGTGTGGTGTAGTTATTGGTGGTTGTTGAAATGTGCTACGTTTGCTGCGGCCTTTCTGCTGTTAGAATATGGTTCGTCTGTTGCCCGTGACACTTGACATGTGGACACGTTTGTTGTTGAATGCGTGTGTGACCAGGGTATGGTGTGGATGTTGGTAGCTGATGTAATGTGGGTGCGTTTGCTGCGGCCCTTCTGCCGTCAAGCTTTGGTTTGTTTGCTTCCCGTGACAGTTAGAATGTGGGCACGTTTGTTGTTGAATGCTGGGTACGTTTGTTGCGGCCCTTTTGCCCTCAACATATTGTTTGTGTATTGCCCGTTGTAGTTCGAATATGGGCACGTGTATTGTTGCGTGCGTCTGCTACCATGGTGCGAGCTGCTGAAATGTGGGTACGTTTGCTGCGGCCCTTCTGCCATTAACATGTGGTTCGTTTGTTGCCCGTGGCAATTGAAATGTGGGCACTTTTGCTGCTGAGTGCGTGTGCCCAGGGTGTGGTGTCGCTGCTGGTAGCTGTTGAATTGTTTGCACGTTTGCTGTGGCCCTTCTTCCGGTAAACATGGGTCGTGCGTTGCCCGTGGCAATTAGAATGTGGGCGCGTGTGTTGTTGAGTGCGTTTGCTACCATGGCGTGGTGTAGCTGCTGGTAGCTGTTCTAATGTGGGTACGGTTACTGCGGCCCGTCTGCTGTTAAATTATGGTTTGGTTGCACCCCGTGGCAATTGGAAAGTGAACACGTTTGCTGCAGAGTGCGTATGCTACCATGGTGTGGTGTCGCTGGTGGTAGCTGTTGAAATGTGGGTACGTTTGCTGCGGCCCTTATGCCGGTGAGCTATGGTTTGTTTCTTGCCCGTGGCAATTGAAATGTGGGCACGTTTGCGGCTGAGCGCGTTTTCTACCCCAGCATGGTGTAGTTGTTGGTAGTTGTTGAAATGTGGGTGCCACATGTGTGCCCATGTCGCGTTGCGTGCAGATCCATGCGGGCTCGCAAGAAGCGGCGCTTTCCGTTCTTGTCTGGCCACCTTTCCAATTCGGGGGCCCCCAAGAAGGGTGGTGACCCCGCCGTTTTGTGAGTCGGTGGGGATTCGGGGTCACTGCACGGTTTTGGGACTCGGGTCGTTCTCTGAGAACGTCTCGGGCGATGGGGCATGCGAGGTCCCAAAACCGTGCGTTGACGGACCGTGCGGTGAGGTCTTGGGGGGGGTTCGAGGTCACCGCACGGTCTGCCACCTCACCGTTTCGGGACACCAAACCAATACTGGCCTTCCGCTCGGCACATCCTCAAAAAATGGTTTCAGAGGGCGGTCCGAATCAACATCGTCTGGCAATCGCTGTTGGAACGGGGCCGACCGTGGCTCAAGCGAGCCCCCGAAGGCCCGCCCGAGCTCCTCCTCCTCCTCCTCCTCCTCCTCCTCCTTCTCCCCAGGAGGGCCCCAGACGGCCCCAGATGGCGCCAAGACGGCCTGAGAGAACCCCCTACAGAACCCTAAGACACGCCCAGGCAGCCAGAGAACACCCCAGTAGCTCCCAAGAGGACCCTTGCGGGCCCAAAAGAGGCCCCCAGGATGTCCCGAGCTAGCCCCAGATGGCCCCAACCACCCCCTGGGTAGCCTCAAAAGATCACGAGGACCCCCCCCTTCGACTTCCTTTTCCCTGGGTTCCTCACCGTCCCTGTTCGTCGTTGTTGTCCTTCTTCTTCTTCTTCTTCTTGTCCTCCTCATCCTCATTCTTCTCCTCCTCGTCCTCCGCTTCGTTCCTCCTCGTACTCGTCCTCCTCCATATATTATTCCTCGTACTCGTGCTTGTCTTCCTACACGTTGTCCTCCTGCTCCCATCGCTGCATTCCCCGTCATCCACGCTGCCATCCTCATGCTCCGCCGCCTTGTCGTCGCCATCGTCCTTACGAGCCCAATGGACAACATCCGCGCTTGTTGTTCTTGTCCGACCAGGCTTCCTCTGCCTTGGGGGCGACCTCCTCGAACCGGAGAAAATGTTAGGCCTTTCTACCTCCTTTGGCCCGTGTTGTCAGTGATCGGTTGTTATCGTTGTCGTCGTTGTTTTCGTTGTGATCGTTTTTGTATCTTTGCTGTCGTCTCGTTGTTATCATTGTTATCGTTTTCCCTCCTGAAGCGCTCTCCTCACCCCGCCGCCCTACTCGCCCCCGGGCCTGCCCGCTTGCCGCGACCGGTCTGTCCAGGAGTGGAGCGAGCGAGGCTTCGGCTTCATCACGCTCACCGATGGGAGGCCTCGACGCGAGCAGGAGGAGGAGTGGTAGATCTTCGGGATGCGTCCAGCGGTGTCGGGGGGTTGGCGGGGAGGGCCTTGTGCTCGTCTTCGGGGACTCAGGGCTATCCAGGGTGGCTCTTGTCAGGTAGGCCTAGGATGAGGATGACCTGCTCCAGGGTCCTCATCGAGCCTTCGTTTGGCCCTGGTGGGGGGGGGGGATCGCACGGGAGCTGGGACGAGGAGAAGTCTTTTCCAGAGCGTTCCGGAACGCTCTCAGAGCGCTCCTGAACGCTCCCAGGAGACCGCGGCGATCGAGACATCCTCGAGAGCCGCTAGATCTCGGAGATTCTCGATTCATTCTCGCCCGAAGTTATCCAACCTCGTCCTGGATGACCTGCTCAAGAGTCCCTCGTGCAGCCTTCGTTTGACCCTGGTGGGGATGGGGGGAGGGGGCAGCATTTGCCGCTTCGAGCCCTGCGCTCCCGCGGCTGGCTTTTACGTCGGGCATGCCCCTCTACAGAGGGAAGATTCAAACAAGTAGTAAAAACATAATGCGGGGACGATTCTGCGACTATTTTTGACCATGCTTGAACATCTTTTGACTACTTTCTTTTTTTCGCCCAAAATCCGCCTGTGGGAGGACACGCCGGACAGAAGGCTGGCTCCCAGGCAGCGGGGGAGGAGGCGGAGATGCGAGCGACGAAGAGTTCTGGCGGGGGCTCGTCGGGCGGGTGGGGTGGTAGTGGGGGGTGGCCTGAGTTTGGGGGGGTGACGGCAAGGGTGCATTCGAGCGTCCCGTGTTCGGCCCCTGCTGGCTCCACAAGGGGCCCCTTTGGTGGGCCCCTGTATGGGTCGCTCTTTTCATCTCCCACTTACGTTTAAGTCGGGCATGTCCCTCTACAGGAGGCATATTCAAACATAGTAAAAAATCGCGAGGAGACGATTTTCCTATCATGTTTTGATTATGTTTGAGTATATTTGGGGCATTTCTGCTTTTCCGTTCAAAATCCGCCTGTAGGGGGACATGCCCGACCTAAACTTACGTCACGCCCCATTACCACCCGCCCGAGCTCTGCTGGCCCGCCAGCAAGCCCGCGCTCCGCGTGGGGCTCGAGCGCGGAGCGTGAGCGCGGCAGGCGTCTCAAGGGAGATCCAGGAGATCAGAGGAGGAAAAGGTACGTACCGATACCGCTAACGTTCACCCGTTTCGGGAGCCTTGAGACGGGGGTCAATGCAACCGGGGTCAGCCAGAGCGCCCGATCTTGCAGGATCCTGCAGGGCCAGGGTCGCATTGACATGGGATTGGGTGCAGGATCTTGCAGGATCTTGCAGGGTCCTTCGCATTGACCCTAGTTTGGGCGCAGGATCTTGCAGGATTCTGCAAGGCTTCATTGACCCGGGTCTGGATTGACCCAGGTCAGAAGATCCCCGACCATTTTCTTTTATTTCGGCCTCATCGGAGGCCTTCGTCGCCACCGCTGAATTCGCCTCGAAACCTTTGTCAGAAGGCGCCCCGGGGAAGGTCTGTGGAGCAAGTATTGGTACCTGTTTTGGCTTCCCCAGGAAAGTCTTCAGATTGCTGGAGATGGGCTCAGGGGGGCCAATTCTCCTGACGATGTGCCCAACCCTTGCGCAACGCATGGCCCACGCAAGGAGGTATCTTTCCTGCGAGTGGCGTTGAGGAGGCTCGCGAGCCTGGGGCCGCTGCCCCGTATAGCCGGCACAACCACTGGCGGACCTGCGCTGTCGTGCGCCAAACTGCTATGGGCCAGCTCCTCGCGTCGCTGAGCGCAACCAGTCGCGACTGGTGCAGGACGCGAGCGAGGCCGACCTCGCCCACCGGGCGTGCCGCCTCCTTCCCCTGCGCCGCGCAGCGCGTGAGCTGCACGCCCGCAGGCGCACCGCCGTGTCTGCGGGACCCGCGGGGCAGGACTGCCCCAGCTGGACCCCCCCAGCAGCCTTCGAAAGTGGCCAAAGTGGCTACCGTTTCGCAATGCGCAGCCCCCCCGGAGCTGGCGAGGTCTAGCTTCTGTTGGCGTGGGGCCTCCGTCCGCTGGACCCCTGAGCTGCGTTCGGAAGTGGCGGCAGTCTCGCAGATCGCAGCCCCCCCCCCCAAGGATTGCGAGCTCTAATTCAGGATTGCGTGGGGTCTCAGTCCGCTGGACCCCCCAGCTGCCTTCGAACGTGGTGACAGTTTCGCAGATCGCAGCCCCCGCGAATTGCGAAGTCGAATTGATGTTTGCGTGGGGCCCCACTCCGATTGATTCCCCAGCAGCTTTCGAACATTGCGACGGTTTCACAGATCACAGTCCTTTTGGAAAGGACGGCGAGGTATGAGGCAGACAAGCAGGCAGGCGCAAACCAGGTGGTAGGCAGGAGAGGAGAGAAGAGGGGGAATGAGGAGGAAGAGACAACAGGGAGGACGGCGACAACAGCAGGCAGGAGGCGGAAGGAGATGCGACCACTTTGTTCGATTCGAAATTCGAACCCAACAACGGAGGGCCCGGACAAACAAGCGCCAGGACGTCCCAATAAGGCTCCCATAGTGACTGAATACGGCCTGAGGAAGTTCCAAGACGGCCTGAGAGGGCCCCGAACCCCAAGACGGCCCCGATTGGCCCTTGGATGCCAAAAGGGGGCAACGCAATGGTTGATTACATTGCAGCCGCTGGGGGTCACAGGTGTCGTTTAGAAGTCGTTGTTTTCTTCATCCTGCTCCCCCTCTCCGTTATTCTCTTCGCCTTCTTCCGACCCGAACGGTAGATCATTGACATGTCCTGCCTCTTCCCTCTGTTGATTGTCTCTCCTCACCGCTGCCGTCTTCTTCTCGGGGGCACGGGGGTTGCAGTCCCCGTGCCCGTCCTATTCGCGTTTGATAAGTACCGAGCTCGATCGTAGGGAAAGCGTACCCTCTATCTCTGCACGCCCCCACTTCTAGTTGGTAGTGGAGTTTCGGCTCCCACGCGCCGCCATGGCGCCCCCCCGCTGCCGTGCCTCGATGGCGAAGGCCTCCTCTCTCCATCGTCATATGCAACCACCTGAAGGACGACTTCAACAAGGACGCCGTGTTAGTCCCTCTGCCGAGCCCCTGGCGCGCAAGACCATCTCCACCGTGATCGCGGCCCTGTACCCGATCATTTGCGCGGGGGAGGCGCACCATTACACCATCGAGAACATCAAGCCCACCTACAAGAAGGACCGCGCCCCCGGCCAGCCTTTCCCGCCCTCCCTGGCACTTTCGAACTGTGTTTGAGATGCTCGGTCCCCCAACGTCTTCACAACGCTCACCAGAGGGCCTTGAGCTATTCGCAACTGCGTTGCGGAAGCCGGTGGAAAAGGAGGCAAAGGACGCGGCGCCTTCGTTGCATCCGCGTGTGGGTGTAGTCGACCACGTCAAGCAGCTTCGATCGATGTGACGCTCACATGGCCGCTGTCAGCGAAGCGGCACGAGGGCACAAGGCGTCCGAATTTGCGTCGCGACAACCGGGGAAGGCGCGCACAGGCACGAGCGGGACAACAAAGCAGGGTCGGGCAATTGCGTTGCCATCCTTCCGGGGGGCCGTTGCACAAACTTGGGGTTATTCGTTATCGGTTGTCCAGGACCTGATCTTCAACGTTACGGTCGCGTTCCCTGATTCTTGGCAGACCTGGATCCCCATGCGTACTCCTTGTGACAATCGTGCAGCTGGCATTGCGCAGTGCATTGATAATACGACGCGCGACGCGGTCGCCCGCAATTATGCGGCGGGGCGTGTCGAGCGCAGTCCGCGTTCCAATCACGCGACACAGGGCGCCGACGAGGAGGAACACGCCAGAGACAGATACCCTTGACGGCTCCGAGGACCACAGACAGAGCATCGCCGTTGGCGGGCACAGGACAGTCGCGCCGCTTCGACACATAGAAGGCCATAGGAATGGGCATGGTCGCTGCCTTCAGTCGCAGGGGTCGTTTGGGAAGCGTTCCTCTTCGTTTTCCCTCCTACACTTCCTGGTTAGCAGGCTGCTTGCCTGCCTGACGCGCAAGTGCAGGGGGTAGTGTAAAAGTTGCAGAGGTGGCTGGTGCCCGAAGGTTGCGGCTTCCCAACCTCGCGCCCGGTTGTCCCCAAAGTTGCATCTTGGTGATGGGTCGATGGGCGTCGACTGCACCGCTGCATCGCCTACGCCGATCATGGCCAGGCCGATCCTTGACCCAGGCTCGGTGTGCAGTTCCTTTTGTGGCAAAGCCAGGAAGACGTATGCGCCGATCCTGGGCCCAAGATCGGCCCGGCCAGCTTCGGTGTAGGTGTATGATTGGCACCGCCCCATGCCATCGGAGGGTTCCGCAGGCCTTTCGGCTTTGTGGCGGTCGGCATCGAATCTTACTTATCGTGAAAATTCAACTCGCTTGCATCCATCGCGTTCCCAGTTCTACTCACCGACGCCGGGGTTGAGTTGCGGATTTCCAAATTATCATCGCCATGACGTCTTAATCCTGACTTGGATGGGGTCGGGTAGGTTAGCTGTCCCAGCATGCCCGTTTTTGGTTTGGAATGGCGGCTTGAAACCCAAAAGAAACGGCACCCATCACCAGACTTTGGAAGGCAACTCGGCCAGCGGGGCCACGGCTTCCCCTGAGGGGGTGAGGATGGTTCTATTCCTCCAGGCCGAAGGACTGGCACAACGCATTCGCGTTGGTGCCCGCCATCGCAGTAAATCTGCGGGCCCCGGTCACGGCAGCCCGGAGCGAGCCTTTGCACGCGTCGCCGAGGAAGTTGAAGCCTACCCGGACAGATTGCGTGGACAGGCCCAGGCAAAAACAATTACAGGCGGTCGTTCGGGAGCGTTCTTCCCCGTTCATTTTTCCTCCTCCTCCTCCTCCTCCTCCTCCTCCTCCTCCTCCTCCTCCTCCTCCTCCTCCTCCTCCTCCTCCCCCCTCTTCCACCTGCCCCACATCCCTCCTCTTTCCTCCTTGTTCTCTCCGCGCACTTCCTCCCATTCGTCATTATTCCTCTCTCCTCGTCCTGCTCCTCTTCCCTCTCCTCTCCTCTGCTTTAGCGCGCAGTTCAGCTTTGGCTTCGGCTTCAGCTGCGATGCACTTCGAAGCGTTTTCGGGCCAGTTCATTTCAGCCAATTTTCCGCTCGCGCGGGCGCCTCCTTTTTTCCTTCGTTTCCTAATGCTCCTTTCTTTCCTCCTCCTCCTCCTCCTCCTCCATTTCCTCCCCTGGACATTAGGAAGTCGTCTAACGAATTACGATGGAGCCCAGGGCCGTTGTTTTTGGCAATGTGCAGGGGCATCTTTGAAGCACGCGTGCTGACTGCAGAGTGACACGCGGCATTGGAACATGTTCGATTGCTTTGTTATTTCTTGTCAGCATGGACTGACGCGCGTGTGCTATCTTGTTGCCGGAGTCTGATGTGGTGGCTGCTCCCGTGAGCTCGAGGGTAGATACCGTGGTCAGATTCTCCCCTTCCCGAGTGATGGAATGGACAGCTGGAGCGCGAGGGTGTAGAAGGGGCGTCGAGCGACGAACACTTTATATATCCACTGTTCCCTGGCGGGGCCTTACCTGGGCCGAGGAGTTGTGCGTGCACATTATGGTTCGATGGGGCGTTCGGCAGCCCAGTGAAGCCGACTAGCAGAATCCTCCTGGCCGTGGTCCCAGCGTATTGGGCTCGTGCGCAATGGTTTCAAGCACCGCACTCATGTTCACAACCTTGCAGTCTGGGCGCGCGGCGACCCAGACAACACCGTCGAGTCAGTTGTGGGGGCCCCTCCAGATCACCCTGGCGTACGAAGCAGATATGGACTGGCGGCTGCTCCAGAACAAAAGCAAGCAGTTTGCCAACTTGGCCTCGGTGCGGCGTTGGCTCCAGCACCAGATGCCTTCGATTCCCGTTGGGACCGAACTCTCCGACCTCGGAGTCGTCGCGGTCGCTGGCAAGCGGCGAAAACACGATGTGGCCGCGGCGCGGGTGCAGGTGGCCTGCGGGCGCTTTGCGCGCATCCGCCGCTTGCCCGTGCCCTTTCGCTGGCGGTGTCTGCTGAGGGCAGCTACCGGCCTGGCAGCTGGCACTTACGGCTCCTCCTGCGGTCGCTTGGCCGCGAGCGAGCTCAAGCGGCTGCGCCGTGCTGCCAAGGTTGCCCCCAGCCTTGGGCTTCGGGCGGCCGCCGAGCTCGTGCTCGGCGTGCTGAACCCCACGCGCGGCGCTTGGACCCCGATGCGGCGGTCCCGGTGCTGCGGGCCGGCCAGCTCGACCTCGCTTTGTGGCGCAGCGCGGCTGCCGCAGGCTACGCAGGAATTGCGCGCGCCGTTGGGCTGGCGGCCGCTGCCCTGCACAGCCTTCGCCGAGCTGGGCCTGCGCAGCGGCGTGGAGTGCTGGATTTGCGTGCCGGCGGCGCCGCAAGCAGTCGCGGCGGGCTACCGAGCGCATCCGTCGAGGTGGCCGGGGCGCATCCGTCCGATTTGGCGGCGCGGGGCCGGGCCGAGTGTCTCAAGGTGGCAGCGCGTCGGCCGTGTTGCGCCCACTTGGCCAACGGGGTGGACAGGTGGGCCTGCTCGCTGCCGACGAGCCCCCTGGCGGGCCATGCGGACACCCAGCAGCCCAGGCGGCCGCCGCGCCAGCGGCCCCCTCGGGGATTGGCCGCAGAGACGCGGGGCGCGCGGCCCGGTCGGGGATTGGCCGCCTCCCGGCTTAAATCGGATTTTTTCTTTAAGCAGAATTTTGTTCTGCTCCGGGGAATGGGAACACGTGAAAACTGAGCGGATCTACGCAGGGTCTTTGGGCTGGGTCTCCGCCGCCTCCTGTCGCCGCCATGTGGGCTCTGGACTCTGGACGCGCTGGGTTCCTGTGCCGACTTCCCTGCCCCCTTGTGACATGTGATTGGCCATCGATCTGGTTTGGCACCCCTTCTCCCCTCTCCCCACCTTTTTTCTCATTTGTCCACTGCTTCTTCCTCCTCCCGCGGCGGCTGAGGAGGAGTGAGAAAAGGGAGACAGAGAGGGAAATATTCGGCCATATCCGATTCGATGTGGACGAATCTCTGGCTAGGAAATCTCAGTCGATCGATATTGTCGGATTGTGTCCGAGTCTCTGGGTTGAAATTCTCAATGGCTCGATTCCGTCGGGCCGAACATCATGTTTTAATGTATAGAACAAGTCTTGCTATCGAAGGTGGGACGAATCTCTGGCTTGAGACTCTGGGCGGCCGTTTCCAGCGACATGGGCCGAACCTGCGGTTGTAGCTGATTGCCTTCTTTCGCCCTGTTCTTCGCAAGGCGAATTGGTAGCAGGATCCAGTGCGCATGGGAGCCGCCGCTCCGACTGGCCCAGTCGACGAGCTGCAGACCGAGCAGCGGGCCGAGGCCACAGCCGCGGTGGCAGCGGCTCGTGTCGCAGGCGGCCCGGCCGACTTCGCTTCCGACAGCCAGTGCGTTGTGGGGGCGTGCGCGCAGATTGTAGGGTTAAGTAAGGCACGTCCCTCTAAAGGAGAAACAGTCAAACATTGCCACGCGAAAAAAAAGTCCGGGGACGATTTTTCCATCACTATTGAGCATTCGGGGGTATTTTTTCTCGCCAGAAAAATCTGCCTGCAATGGGACATGCCCGACCTAAAGAGAGTAGGGAAGGGAACAATGACATAAACATTGAAAACATCGGAGGTCCGCGCGGATTTCTCGGATCGGCGCTGGAGACCCCTGGCGGCGCCTCGGGCGCCGCCCGTGGCGCGCTCCGCGCGCCAAGGAGGGGGGTCAAGCGCGGATCAAAAAAATCCGCGCGGACCTCTGGGTTTTGATGTGTACGTCATTCTTTGTTCCCCTAGACTGTGGTTGGCGCAGACGTGCGGAAATCGGAGCACGCCGACCTGTGGGTACCTCCAGTGAGCACCGTTCGCCGCGGGCGGCTCCAGGCCATCTGGGTGTCAGCCCGCACGACGCCGGCAGAGGAGCTGCGCGTAGGGCTGAGCGAGCGGGACCGCCTCGGCAGCGCGGCGGCCGACGGCAACGCTGGCGCCGCCGCTGCAGCCCGGGCCCCTCCTCCGGAGCCAGTGCGCTCGCGCCGACGGGGGCTCGAGCTGCTGAAGCTGCAGCCGCGCAGCAGGCCGCATTGGCGGCAGCGTTGCCGGCCGCGCGCCGCCAACGCGCGCCGCCGGCGGCGCGGCTGGCGCGGGATCCGCCACGGAGCTCGGGCGCGCGCCGCGTCTGGCCCGCCGACCGGCCGTTGCCTGCGCCCTGCCCGCGTCAGAGCGGTGCCGACGCGCCCGTCAGCGGGGGGGGGGGACCTGCTGACCACCTTCTCTGCTGGTTGCTCATGGTGGCCCCATGCCTGTGCCGCGCTGGCCGGGGCGGTTCTTCTGCCTTCGCTGCGGCAGCAGCGCGGCGTCGGCGGCAGAGATGCTCGGGGGCGCGTGCCCTGGGTGGCGGGAGCGCCTGCTGGTGCGGTATCAGGCGACTTTGCTCTTGGGCGGCTTGCCGCGCGCCAGGGGCAGCCTGGCGGCTTGTGCGCGCTTGGCGGCGCAGCGGATCGCGCAGCTGCCGAAAGTGCCCGACTGAGCGGGCACCGCGACTGGCGTCGGCGAACGCGCCTGCGCCCGCTGTCAGCACGTCAACAACAAAAACATACACCACTTTGGGAAAGCCAGGACGGCATGGCGTATGCACCGCTGCTGGGTTCAGGATGGGCCTGGCCAGGGAACAGCGAATATGTATATACAGACTTCGTCGCCCCAGGGTGAAGTGCGAGGAGGGAGTGGCAGAGCAGGCCCCGGCGTCCCTACGGATCCCGAAGGAGACGGTGCTCATCCCGACTTACGGGGTAGGTCGGCTAACGATGCTAGAGTTTCTTGGGTGGGGGTGGGGAGACCTTCCTGTCCAGATCCTTTGCCGGATCTGAGCCCCAGACGTTGCTGCTAAGGTGCATGTTTGATCGGGAAGTGGGGCGGGGATTGGGCGTGGTGGAGGCGTCCGATTTGCAAAGGATGGCGAAGATGAGCGGGAACGGAGAAAGAGGAGGAGGAGGAAACGGACGAGGCAAAAGTGAAGTCGAAGAAGGAAAGGGCGAGGATATGACCCTGGAGAGGTGCGACGGGGACGATACGAAAGAGGGAGAGGACAGACGGGGGATGGGGATGGGGGAGGGGCGATGAGGAAGACTAGGATGCGCGCGGGATGGGCGTGGAGGAGGAGGATCAGGAGGAGGAGGGTGAGGAATAGGGGGCGGCGCGGAAAAGGAGGACGACGCTCCCGGAGGAAATCGAGGAGACAGCCACCCGCGCCCAGGCGCGCGTACATACACCACAGCACCATGGGCGGTGGCAACCTCGAGCCAGGCGTTTCTCTTCTTCCTCCTCGTCATCGTCCGCGTCCTCCTCCCCTCCTCCTCGTCCTCCTCCTCCTCCTCCTCCTCCTCCTTCTCGTCCGCGTCCGCGTCCTCCTCCTTCTCGTCGTCCTCGTTCTCGTCCTCCTCCTCCTCCTCCTCCTCCTCCTCCTCCTCCTCTTCCTCCTCTTCCTCCTCAAGTGGATGGAGCAGGGACGGCCAGAGGAGCCGCCGGGGGAACCATAGGTTAGAAAGAGGGGGGTTGACGAGGAGGAGAAGGCGGAGGATCGGGGGGGCCCGACGGGCACCGAGCTGGCCTGCCACTTGTGTGGTCGTGGAGACGGAGCCCTGGCCGTGCCAGGGCTGCTGCTGCTGAGTGCCCAGCGCTTGCAGACTGCAGCGGGCAGCGTGCTCTGGCTTGTGCGGCTCGGCGGGCGCAGGATAATGGCGGCAGCTCTCCCCGTCTCTTCCCTGTGAGGAAGAGGGTTCGGGGATGGACAGAACCCCCAACAGTGACACGTCGATTAGTGAATTGCCCGTTTTCGGTTCTCGAGAGGGCGCCGTGGCCGTTATTTTCCAGGCTTGCGCCCGCCAGGTTTGGGCATCAGGTCGTTTTCACTAAACCACGTTTTACTAAAGGGGGGTCTGTCCATCCCCGAAGGGTGGGGAGGACGAGGAGGAGGAAGAGGGACCAGGTGTAAGCCCAAGAGTCATCAGCACGATGCTGGAGTAGGCCCTCCTTCCAGGCTCCCTATTCACAGGCCCCTGCACCGGTTCTCATGTCTCTTGAAGGAATTGCCCCGTTGTAAGATGCCCGTGAGAGGAGAAGGCTGGAGGACGCGGAGGTTGCACGCCCCCCCGATTGAGGCAGTGCCACGCCGCCGTTCGCCAAAAGCATCGGCCACGGCCCTTCCTCCTCATTCTGGGCGTGTCGGGACCACCCAGAGGCGCAAACAACACATTCTGAATAGTCGGCCTCCACTAAGTCATTGCCTACCCGAGGTTGAAGGTTTTCGAACAGGATGCCAATATTGAGGGGAAGAGGAGGGCGAGGGGGCGATATATTAGTGAGGTGCTGATGCGTGGAGAAGTGGACAGGACGGGACAGAGTGAGAGGAGGTGGGGAGGGAAACAAGTGAGGAGAATGATTCGGGGAGAAGGGAGAAGCCCTCCCACCACCTCCCACCAATATCTTCCCAGTGTGATGAATTATTTTCTATCTGTCTCTCCCAGATGACATTGTACACATCGTCCAAAACTCAATCATAATATGTTGTTTTGTACGCTGGAGGAGGGTACGGCCGACACGCGGGAGGATGAGCGGAAGGACGCGAAGGAGGAGAAGGAGGATGGGTAGCAGCAGCATGATGAGTAACTTCAGGAGGCGTTTAGCTTTGGCCCCCCCCCATTTTCTTTCGGCGGAGAACAAACTCGCCCCTCCTCCTCTTCCTCCTCCTCCTCCTCTTCCCCCCTCCTCCTCCTGCTCCTCCTCCTCCTCCTCGTCCTCATCCTGATCCTCCACGTGGTCGTTATCGCAGTCGTCGTCGTCGTCGTCGCGGCGGAGATTTTTTTCCCTCCATCGTTGTGCGGGCTGGATCATGTTGGGGGCGTCTTCCTCCCAGGGAATGTTCCATTGTGAGCTACCCTACACGCGGGAGGATGTGTGAGCATCTTCTCATGGGGATCCCAATCGGAATCAGTGGTTTTGGTTGTAGTCATGATGGTAGTCGTGGCTGTAATCGTGAGTGTAATCGTGATTGCAGTCGCGAGTGTAGTCGCAATCGTAGCCGTAGTCGCGATCGTCGTCGTCGTCGTCGTCGTCCTCGTCCTCGTCGTCGTCGTCGTTGTGCAGCTGGCACAGCGGAGAACGAACTCGTTGCCACTATTCTTGGGACCCCAGTCCGTCAATAAGAGCGTCGCACAGATAATTCGTTTCCCACTATTGGGGGGGGGTCCTAAGGACGTATAGGCGACCCGCATGGTAAGGATGGGCAACCTTACCAAGGGTACCCTTGCATCCTCGCCTCCTCAGTCCATCCTTGGCCGCTTCCGTTCGCCGCGCCCCGCTCGAGAAGCTTCGACATGGGCGTCCACGGCCCTTGCATCTTTATCGCGCATCCTTATGAGACAGGCCGACTGTATAGCGGCTTCTTCAGAGCAGGGGGATCGGGACGGCTAGGGGGAAGCGAGGGGGGGAAAAGGGCAGGGAGCGGCAGCGACGAGGGGGGCACCGGAGCCAGGAGTGCGGTTCGCGCCGTGGCGAGAGCGCGGTCTGAGCGATGGGAGAAATGCGTCGATGCTGATGTGCGGCCAACGTTGCAGCGTGAGCACAAGCTGAAAAGGACCGACCAACTGAAGCAAACCATGGCATAGGGAAGGCGAGCGCATGACATCGTGTCCCTTCCCACTGCTCGGGACTCTGTTCTGTTCGCCAGCAGGGTGTTCTTAGGACCTTGATCCCTGAAGTAGCCCCCTCCTGTGACGCGCAGTCAGAAGTACTGTGGCGATGGGGGGCGGGGCGCTGTACTCGGGAGGGGGTGGTGGCGCATGGGGAGGATGATTCTCCCGATACATGGATTTGGCGACCGCGCGCCAAATCCACGGATCGCTAATCTGAAGTCGGGCCTGTCCTTCTACAGGGAGAATATTCAAAAATAGTAAAAAATAGTCTGGGGACGATTTTTGTCTAGTATTTGTATTGACCACTTTGGGAGTATGTTTTGGAGTATTTTTTATTTTTCGCCGAAAGTCCCCCTGTAGGGGGACACGCCCGACCTAGCGCTAATCCATGTTTGCGCACCCCCGAGATTCTCGGGGGGGGGAACGGAGGACGAGGACGGAGGAGGAGGAGGAGGAGGAGGCGGAGGAGGAGGCGGAGGAGGAGGAGGAGGAGGAGGAGGGCGAGGACGAGGACGGAGCAGCGGCGGCAGCAGGAGCGGGGAGGAGCGGGCAGAGCAGGAGGGCCGGGGGAAGGCGGAGGCGAGGGGGGCGCGGCAGCGGCGAGGAGGCAGTCGGCTCCAGACTTCAGTCGGGCCTGTCCTTCTACGGGGGGAATATCAAACAATGGTCAAACAAAAGTCTGGGGACTATTTTTTGAGTATTTTTGGGGCATCTGTTTTGAGCATGTTTTGAGTGTTTTTTATTTGTCGTCCAAAATCCCCCTGTAGGGGGACACGCCCGACTTACGTAACTCCAGACTTGTGGCCCACAATGGGGCGAGAGCACAATCTGAGCTCAAGTCGGGCATGTCTCTCTACAGGAGGGATCTTCAAAGATAGTAAGAAATAGTCTGGGGACGATGGTTTGAATTTTGTCTGACTTTTGGGGGTACGTTTTGAGTGCTTTTCATTTTTCGTCCAAAATCCGTCGGTAGTAGGGGGACACGCCCGACCCAAGTCTGAACGGCGGGGGCAAAACGCCGATGCTGAAATCCGGCCAATGTTGCAGCGACGGCGTCAGGTCTGAATTGGCCGTGGGCGCTCCAATTGCAAGCATCACCGTCAGCCTCGAAGGTTTGAAATCGTGTTGGCAAGAAGGCGCGAGAGCGGCGGGGTCACCGCTGGACGTGATCAGGGGAGCGAGGGGATCCATGTTCTGATCATTCACGCAGCGCGTGTCCCCACCAGCCCGTCCAAGAGCACACCAAGCGAGTTGCCCCGATCTGGGTTGTGTAGCAGCATTCAGTCACGATGTCAAGGAGGATGGCGTGGACGATGAGGAAGATGATGATGACGAGAACCAGGACTAGGACGACGACGAGGACGAGGAGAAGGAAATATAGCAGGAGAGGAAGGAGGAAGAGAGCGAGTAGGAGGACGACAATGACGAGGAGGACAAGGACGAAGAGGAGGAGAATGAGGAGGACGAGGAGAGTAGGACAGGGACGATGGCGACTCTTTAGGCCATCTTCTGAAGTCGGGGACGGGGACGAGAAGGAGCATGATGGAGGACTGGGAAGAGGACGAGGAACAAGAGGACGTGTACGAGGAGAGGGCAAGAAGGAGGACAGTGACGAGGAGGACGAATCTGAGGAAGAGGACAAAAGCAGGAGGACGAGGACAAAGAAAACAGACGGAGGACGAGCACGAGAAGGACGAGGAGGAAGAGGACGAGGACCCTCCTGGTGCCCTGTCGGGGCTGCTCTGAAACGCACGGGGGTTCCTCTGAGGGCTCTGCTGCGGGATACCCGAGGGCCCTCCTCGAGGCTTCCTGGGAGCCCCGGACAGCCGAGCACGTCGATCCAGAGAGCGGGTGGGTCCCAAATATGTCCCCCTCCCCGTCGGGAGACATCAAAATCGCGGATTGGAGCGCTCTTGGGACCGTCTTGGGGCCGCCGTGGGTGCATCCCGGGCCCCTCGTGGTTCGGCGGCGAGCGAGGGGGGGAACTGAAAAGGAGAAGGCCTTCTCAGATGGCGGCGGGACTTCCCAGAAGTCCGCACCCCTTTGATAAGTTTTGTTGTGTCGTCGGGGAAGGCTTAGAAAATTTCTCAGAAGGCCGGGGGACGTCCGAGCCTTTCGAGAAAGGCCCGCCCCTTCTCACCTCCCCCCGGGCGCGCCGCATATTGGTGTTCTCTTTTGCCATCTTGAGGCTTCAGAGAGCAGCCAAACGTCAGGGTGTTCCTCAGGTCCCAGGAGGGCTCCAGAAGCACTTGGAACAATATTGTGGCTCTCATGGGGCCTTTTGAAGGCTTGATGGATGCCATCATGAGCCATCCCCGGCTATCTTGAGCCAGCTTGGAGGCGACCTTGGAGCATCGAACGCCCTCTTGGAGCCATGCTGTGCCGAGAAATGCCCTGTGACACATCCCGGGAGGGCCAGCACACGATCTCAGGGATGGGAGGGGGATGAGACCCTTCTCGTAAGGGAGGAGGGCTTTTTGGAAGATGACCCATTCGACCACCCACGCCCAGAGGGTCGGCGGGGTTCAGTATTTGCAGAGGGGAGGGAAGGGAAGAGGAAAATGGGGGGAGGCGAGGAAACGGGGAGTGGAAAGGAGAGGAGAGGACAGTGGATTGGAGAGTCGAAGCGTAGACATTGATACGGGAACGGTGGAGCGGTCAGCGGAGCCGAGCAGCCCGGCAACCCCGCCGCGGCCGCAAGGCGAGAAGGTGGTGTGCCTAGTCGCGGAGGACAAGCAGAACACCGGCAAGTGGGCCGTCACCGCGGCGGCCCGGGGGGGGCTCAGCCGCCGCTCGCCGGGACGAGGGGGGAGGGTCCGCAGGCCCAACCGGGGAGCGCAGGAGGCGGTGGAGGAGGCCGACGAGGAGGCGGCGGAGGAGGCCGGAGACCGGCAGGCGGTGGACCGGCGGCGGGCCCAGCGGGGAAGCGAGAGGGGGTGGGCCTTCCGAGCTCTCCGGGAAGGCTCGCCGCCAAGTGGCGGCCGAGGACCAGAGGAGCACAAGGCCCTTACAACTAAGTCGGGCCTGTCCCCCCACAGGAGGAATCTTCAAGAGTAGTCCAGAAATAGTCTGGGGGCGATTTTTCTCTACAATTTTGAGTATTGTCGGGAATTCCTTGACTACTATTAATTTTTCGCCGAAGATCCCCCTGTAGGGGGCCAGGCCCGACCTGACACTACAACGACACGTTCCAAGATCTCCAGGATTTCCTAGCGTTCCATGCTGGCTGCAGGAAGGAGGGGACAGCTGGATGCCTCTTAGGAACCCTGGGGCGTCTCTCGAGCCAGTCGTGGCTTGTGACATCGTTTTCGTCCTCGAAGCCTCGAAGACGAACAAACTTCATAAACATCAGCTTGGAGCTCCGCGCGATTTTCGTGGATCGGCGCTGGAACCCCCTCCCTGGCACGCAGAGTGCGCCAGGGGCGGCGCTGGAGGCGCCGCCAGGGGTCCGGCGCCGATCCAAGAAATCCGCGCGGAGCTCCAAACGTGTAGTTTTCAGGGAAGCGAAGACGGGGTAACAGCAGACGGGGTAATAGGAAATGGCCAGTTCGAGGCCACAAACGCGCACTTTGTTGCAGTGCAGTTTTTGTCAGGCTTCCGCGTTCAATGCAGCACCCGCCACACGTTGTCTGCGTCGACAATTTCCGCCTGTTCCACTGCATTTATTTAGTTTGGACCATTTGTTACCAGGTCTGTGGGACTTGTTTGCAGTCTTCTCCGCAACTAGTTGCAGAAACAATGCAGTGGAGTTTTTTCGCGTCGCAGAAAATTACCGTGCAGTTCTTTGCTCTGGTCGTTGCTGTTGCTGTGTCTGGATCTGATGCTTGGCCTGTTACCCGGTCTAGGCGTTACCCGGCTTCGTTGTCCTCGAAGTTTTAGCTTGATTACCAGAAAGAATTTCGAACGCCAAGAAAAGTATTGAAACTCAAGGGTTTTACGTATCGGGCCCCTGGAGACACTCGCCCGACATTGTTTTGACACTGTTGCGATACTCTTTTGACACTTTTCCGGATGCTCGAAATCATTTCTGGGATGTGGTCCTCAAGTGGGATCGGAACAATATAACTCTAGGCACTCGGGGCCGGGAGGCGGGGAGGGCGTCGAGGAGGAGGTTCGGGAGCCTCGAGACGGGGGTCAGTGCAGACGGGGGTCAGCCAGAGCGCCCGATCTTGCAGGATCCTGCAGCGCCAGGGTCGCATTGACCCGGGTTTGGGTGCAGGATCCTGCAGGCTCCTGCAGGATCCTTCGCATTGACCCGGGTTTGGGTGCAGGATCTTGCAGGATTTTGCAGGCCTGATTGACCCGGGTCTGGATTGACCCGGGTCAGAAGATCCCCGAGAGGTCCCGGGAGTCCCGCTCGAGTTCGCCCGAGCGGCCGCCAGCGGCGTGGGGTGGGTGGGGGGGGGGGGCACCGCGCCCGCCGCAGGGGGCACCCTGGGCCGCCAGGGCCAGGACCACGAGAGGTCCGCGCGGGTTTCTCGGATTCGCGCTGGAGCCCCTCACCACCCACCGAACCACCCCGACCCAACCCGAAGGCCTCAATTTGGCATCCATTTCCAGTGGGGGGGGGTCGGGGAACATTGAAAAATCACGGGTGGAACCCTTACCCCCCCCCCCCCCCGAAATTCGGGTCTTCGGGTTGGGTTGAGTTGGGGTGGTCTGGTAGGTAGTCCCCCTCCCCCCCCCGCGCGCGGAGCGCGCCGGGAGCGGCGCCGGAGGCGCTGCTCGGGGGCCCCAGATGCGATTCGAGGGATCCGCATGAACCTTCGCAAGCTGATGTGCATACATTTCCCAATCCTCCTGTGTTGGGTTGTCGATTCGAGTAGAGCGCGCTGCGGCTCCCGCCTCTCCTCTCCCGCCTCCCTGCTCCTCTCCGCCTCCTCCTGCGCTGCCCCCCGGGTGGCTTCGAATCGCGCATCCGTCGCCGCTCTCGTGGGCTCCTGGGAGGTCCAGCGGGGTCGGGGGCCACGCGCACGCAGACGAGACCTCGCTGCTCCCTTGCCTGTGGCCGCGAACTGCAAAAGTCGTCGCCGCTCTCGTGGGCCCCCTGGGGGGTCCAGCGGGGTCGGGGGCACGCGCAGGCGAGACCTCGCTGCCCCCTGGGGTGACTGCGAACTGCGCGACCGTCGCCGCTCTCGTGGGTTCCTGGTCGGGTATAGCCAGGACCCCGGTTAAGGGGAGCCGGTTGGTGATTGGGCCCCGAAGCCCAAAATATGGATTGGAATCACTAAACCAGGTCTGCTGTAGCTGGTGTTTTTTCGGGTGACGGCAATTCCGGTTAGTGGAATGGGACGGGAGGGGCGTCCCCGCTACAGATCATCAATCCCGGTCCCATTAAACCCAGTTCTGCCAACGCCCGACTTGGGAGTTCCAGCGGAGTCGGGGGGCGCGCGCACCCAGAGGGGACCTCCTGGCTTCCAGGATGTCTGCCAGATGCGCAACCGTCTGCATCTCGTGCGCAAGAGTGCTGCATACATATATATATATATATATATGTGTGTGCATGTATGTCTGTCTGTCTGTCTGTCTGTCTGTCTGTCTGTCTGTCTGTCTGTCTGTATGTATGTATGTATGTATGTATGTATGTATGTATGTATGTATGTTTGTGTGTATGTATGTATGTATGTATGTATGTATGTATGTATGTATGTATGTACGTACGTACGTATGTATGTATGTATGTATGTATGTATGTATGTATGTATGTATGTATGTATACGTATATATGTATATATGTATATATGTATATATGTATATCCATGTGTTCGGTTGTGAGGAGCCCTCCTTTCAAAAGTCGTCTTGCGTGGAGAAGGGCTTGGGTACGTCTTGGGTATTTTTTGTTCCCCTGGAGAGGGGGCATTCGGGGCCCATGCCGATCCGATCGATCCGATTCGAATGTCGGTTTCGGCTGGCCCGGTCCGATTCGATCTCGGCATTCCGACGATCCGATGCGGCCCAACGCGTGCATGGGGCTGCTGTGCATCCCGGCGCAGCTGACCCGATCCGATTCCGACTGCGTGCCCCCACAGCCCAATCCGACGAAGTCTTCGAGCCTATCCGAGTTCCCGATGGCGTGCTGACTGATCCTGGCGTTACGTCGGGCCCGTCCCTCTACAGGAGGAATATTCAACAATTTGCAAAAAAGATTGTCCAGGAACCATTTTTATTAGCACTTTTTGACCCTTCTGGGGCATTTGTGCGGTATGTTTTATCCTTCGTCGCAAATCCCCCCTGTAAGGGGGACACGCCCGACTTAACCGTTAACCCTGGCGAGGCGGAGGGGGGGACGAAGCCGTGCCGCGCGCAGCCGGTCGCGGCCCCGCCGCCGGGCGCCCCTCCTCGACGAACCGGGCGCCTCCGGCGCCGCGGGGCGCCGCGCACGGGCGTGGTCCAAGTCAGGAGGGGAAGCCAACACACTTTTCCTCCAGGACACCACACCTCCTCCTCCTCCTCCTCCTCCTCCTCCTCCTCCTCCTCCTCCTCCTCCTCCTCCTCCTCCTCCTTCTCCTTCTCCACACAGAGCCAACACACAGAGCCAACACTCAGAGCTCCGAATCATCCGGGGTGACTCGGGTCAGGGCTAACTCGGGTTCGTTTTTGGGGAACCCAAACCCGAGTTACCCCGGACCCGAGTTGCCCCGGATAATTCGGGCGTCCAAAACACACAGACACAAGTAGTCGCCGATCCCCCAGAAACTGTGGGAGAATCTGGGAAGTGGGAGGGAGGACGAAAGCCCAGAAAATGTAGGAAAGTATGGGGAATCCGGTTACTTGTGTGTATTTCTTTGTGTGCCCCAGGGCTCCTTCAGTGGTCGAAAGTTGCACCGCAGCTTCCGAGATGGCAGGCGGTTCCGTTTCAAAGTCGGGCTCTTTGTTTTGGCGACGTTCGCATTCGCCCTGCGATGAAGTCGGGCGCGTCCCTCTGCAGGAGGAACACTCAAGAACAGTCGACAGAACAGTCTGGGGACGATCTGTCGACTGTGCTTTGAGCATGTGTTGAATATTTCTGACTATTTTTCGTTTTTCGTCCAAAATCCACCTGTGGGGGGGACACGCCCGACCTAATCTTACGAATGTGCAGCAGCTTCAAGGATGGATGGCGGAACGCTTTCATATTCTGGCTCTCGCCTGCAGCGCCGCGCACGCGTGTGTTAACAGTTTGCAGCAACTTCAAGGATGGCCAGCTCTTTTTTCTTAAGCTCTGGTCTCTCGCTTGCGACGTCCTTAATTTGAAGTCGGACACGGCCCTCTACAGGAGGAATACTCAAACATAATAAAACCACAGTCTGGGAACTATGTTTCTATTAGTTTTGGACTATGTTGCAGCATTGTCTGAGTATGTTCTATGTTTCGTCTAAAACCCGCCTGTAGAGGGACATGCCCGAACTACGTCGAGCTCTTGTTTCTTAGGTTCGGGGCTCTCGCTCGAGGCGTCCTTCATTCCAAATGCCCGCAGCTTCAACGCATACAGCACTACACGGGTCGGGTCAAGGGTGGCTCTTTGTTGAAGTGGCGTTCCGGCTCGAATTTTCTTGGGAGGTCATGGCCACAAGTGCAAAGGTATGCAACAGCTGCACGGATTGCGGAACGGTCTTTATTCTTTTCAAGTAGCGTACGCCATTCCGACGACCCCCAGAGAGAATGAGAGTTTGTGACGTCCGTGGAAGTCATCGAAGGCGCCTACGGCGAATCACCGCCGCCCCCTGCCTTTTGGAAGCGCCCATGTGGCCGAGCGTTGTGTGAAGAGGCCTGCCAAGATATCGGACCATGTGTTCCCCAGCCGTTGCGGAAACCTTTCGGGGAACATTTGGGGCACATGTGAGGGAGGATGGCGGGAACGATCAGGAGGAGTATGAGGAGGAGTAAGAGGATGTGGAGGAGGAGGAGGAGGAGGAGGAGGAGGCATTTTGGGAGCTTCTGGGGGGCACTCTTGGAGCCGCCTGGGAGCTTCCTGGGGGCCTCTTGGAGCCATCTTGGGGGCCTCCTTGGGCATCTTTGGGGCCTTTGAAGGCTTCTCGGAGGCCTCTTTGGCTGTCTCAGGGCATTCGTGGCCCGTGCGACGCCGTCGGCAGCCGTCTTGGGCGCCTCTCTTGGCCGACTTGGGGCCCGTCTTGGAGGCATCTTGGTCGTATTGGGGACATCTTGGGGCCGTCTTGGGGGCCTCTTGGGCCGTTCTGGGGCCATCTTGGAGGCCTCTTGGGCGATCTTGGGGCGATCGTGGGGGGCTCTTGGATCGTCTCGGGCCGTCGGAAGCAATTGCCCACATCCTTCAAATATTTAGTGCAACACAATCATTTGGGCATCTTTGGGCCTTCCTCAGGAGGCCCTCTTGAAGGCCTCTTGGGCTGTTTTGGCGACCTCTTGGGGGCCTCTTGGACAGTCTTGGGCCACCTCAGTGCCATCTTTCCCGTCTGACGCCGTCGGACGCCGTTTTTGGGGTTTCTCTCGGCCGACTTGGGGCCTTCTTGGGGTGCTCCAGGGCCGTCGTGGAGGCCATCTTGGGCGTCTTGGAGGCATCTTGGGTCGTCTTGGGGCCATCTTGGGGCCGTCTTGTGGGGGCCTCTTGGGCCGTTCTGGGGCCATCTTGCAGGCCTCTTCGGCGATCTTGGGGCGATCTTGGGGGTCTCTGGGGCCGTCGGAAGGCCGAAAAGGCGTGCATCTCAAAATCCTTCAACAGCCTTAAGACAATCAATGTGTTTGTCCTCTTCGGGCCTTCCTCTAGAGGCCCTCTTAGGAGCCACTTGGGCCGTCATGGAAGCCGCTTGGGGGCATCTTGGGCCGTCTGCCGTCATCTTGAGGCCATGTTGGGCCGTCTTGGGTGCATCTTGGGCAGTCTTGGGAGAATATTGAGGCCATCTTAGCCGCCTTGGAGGCCATCTTGGAGGCATCTTGGAGGCCATCTTGGGCCACCGTGGCGGTCTTAAAAGCCATCTTGAGCCGCCTTGGTGATTTTTTTCAGAGAATTCGGCGCCTTGCGGTCCCTTCCGGGTGGTCGGCGGGACAGGCCGAAGTCCAAGGGGGAGTTCTTTCGGACAAAAACCCAAACCAGACCAGTAAGGTCTAGCACGTCAGGCGCCCTTGTGAGAAATCAACAGGGGGCGGCGGATTTTGTGGCCTTCGGACAGTGGCGCAGAAGCGTCTTTGATGTATGTGAGGGTTTCTTGGGAGGCCTGTCAGGGGTCTCTTAGAGGGCTCTCGTGGCCTCTGGATACGCTTTGAGGCCTCTTGGAGGCCTCTTGGGGGCGGCCTCCGGGGAGCTCTTGAGACCACGGGGAGCTCTGTCAAACGTGTTCCCCCTCTCGGGCCGCTCGTGAAGCCCTCTTGGGCCTCTCCTATGCCGTCCTGGGGTCCTGTTGGGCCGTCTTGGAGCCCTCTTGGAGGCCTTATGTACTGCCTGCACGCCTGTGGGGCTGAGGCTGCCTGTGGGGCTGAGGCCGATGGTGCACGCTCGCCCGCTCGCTCGCTCGGGTTGTCTTGGGAGGATATTCCGGGCCCCTTGGGCCGCCTTGAACTCCGTGACTAGGAGGCCACGTGCGAATCCCACCCGAGGGGGAGGGCGGGGAGGCTCTGGGGGAGCCGCTGACGAGCTCATCGGCCTTAGGCGGGGGGGGGGTACGGGATTTCAAACGGGATTTGGGACCCCAGGGGAGGGGCAAAAGGGGAGGGGGACAGACGATCATCTCACACGCCGCTTAGCCCCCCGGCAAGCGGGGGTCGGCGGATTTCCAAAAGGGGTATAACGATGGTCATTTCGCTTGAAGTTCCTTTTCAGAGCGGGGCCTTCGCCAACATTGCAGACCCGTATGTTGTTGGTCTTTGAAGGGGAGCGTTTCTTGTGGTGAAGTGGGTAGGGAACCATGAGTAGGGGGATGTGGAACGGGATGGTGTACTGCAGCATCGCTGACGCACCAAGAGTTTACTAAAGTCAGCCTCATCATTATCCCAGTCCTCCTCCCGCCTTTTCGTCTCCTGCTACTCCTGCTCCTGCCCCTGCCCCTCTTCCTTCATCCTGTTCCTGCTCCTCCTGCCCCTGCCTCAGTTTGGCACTGCAATCTCGAGGTGCAGCAGTAGCTAGCGCTGAGACTAGTTTCGCCGGTCGGGCTCTGCAGTCATCTCGAGCCGCAGATGGCAGCAGTGCGCGAGCGATCTGCAATCAAGCTGTGGTGGCAATGAAATCGAGATGCGGAGGCGCCTCCTTCTGCTCCTGCTCTCCAATGCTTTTTTCTTGTGCGCATTATCCCCCCCACTTGGCCACCGATCCGTTCGATAGCGACCAGGTCTGGAATGTCGACCCGTTCGAGTTGGCTAGCTTGACTGCTCCTCCCTCCTGCCTCCTCTTTCTCCTCCCGACGCGTAGGGGCTAGCCCAACTTCCGCGGAAGCCTCATTCATGGGCAACCATAGGGGGGGGATAGGCCTAGGGGTGGATGCATCGACCCCCGATCGCCCATTGATCGCCGATGTGGCCCCGATGGCCACAACCTGCCCAGGAACGTGCGGATTCACTATCGTGGGCCTATCGCCGATACATCGGCGATTTTACACCCATTCCTCGGCGATGTATCGTGGGCCTATGCCGATCCCCCCCTATTGTTGCCCCTCATCAATTAGCACAGCAGCCAGTTGTATCTTGCACTCCGCCATCGGTCTAGATGCGGCCAGTTCAAGGCCAGGCACACTGCGCGCACCTTCGCGCGTCATCTCGACAGCTCCGTCTCCAGTCCGTGCCTCCGCATCCCCTCCGTCTCAAACTTCGCCATCACTCACCTCTCCTCATCCTTCCCCTTCCTCTCCATCCCCCTCAGACCTCCTCCCGCTCCACTTCCCCCTCGCTCCTCGGCCTCTGTCGCCCTCCTGCCTCCTCCCTCGTCTCTTCTCCCGCGTTCGCTCGCGCTCCGCGGCCAGAGATGGGAGTGGTCTCAGCGCCGAAATCATCCACCCAGTCCACAAGAGCTCCCACGAGGGCGCGAAGTTAGTCGCGCTTCGCGCTTCGCGGGCCTCATTCCTCCTCCCCCTCCTCCTCGTCCTCCTCTTCTCCCCTTTGGGGGCGGCGCGAGAGCGCGAAGTTGTTCGCGCTTCGCGCAGCGCGAAGCGCGAAATCGGGAGCCCTTGGTCCAGAAGGCCGAGGTGGCAGCAGTTCTGCCCTGAGCGGCACGTGCAGGCCGCCGCACCGCGAGCCGCAGCCACTTGCCGAGCCTGGCGCCGCTCGGACGTGCGCATCCTCTTCCGGCGAGGGCCACCGAGGGTGTGTGTGTTGGGCCACCTTGCAAAACATATACGCGCACGAAGCCGAAACACGAGCGGGGAATGGACGTCCGAGCGATGGCGAGCGAGTGGGAGGAGAACGAAGAAGAGGATAATCATGCTGAGGTTCGTGCTGTTGCGTTCACGCGTGCGTTCTTTCGTTTCGAGCAGTACGGGCGTTCAGACGCGGGAATCGATTCGACAAACGCTTGTCTATCTGAACAGAAGAAGGTGGAGTCAGTGACAAGAGTGGAGAGGTGTGAGGAGGAATTGGGGGGGCGAATGAGGAGGAGGAGGAGGAGGAGGAGGTGGAAGAGGAGGAGCAGGAGGAGCAGGATGACTGGGAGGAGACATGCGCAGGAAAAGGAGGAAGAGGAGGAGATCCGATCCCCTCTGGGCAGATCGAGCGGGAGAAGGACCAGCAGCAGCAGATGGGCGGCGGCCTTAGCTTCTCGAGGGAGGGGGGGTGAGGGAAGGGGGGGAAGGGTTCCTCCTCCTCCTCCTCCTTTTCTGCGCTGCGCATCTCGACCCTCGAGGCCTCTTTTCCCCCGCGCACCCGAGGACAGTCTGAAGTGCAGGACACGTGGAGGGGAGGGTCGCCTGGGGAATGGTGGAGGAGGAAGGGTAAGAGACGAGGGGATGTGTGGAGGGAGGGCGTCTCAAGGACTACTATCCTCTGGGCACTGGGTTCGCGTTCCCCTTCTTGGGCCTCTTTTGGAGCCGTCCTGGGGCCCTGCCGGGCCGTCTTGGGCGTCTCAGGGACTGTCTTGGGGCCCTCGTGGGCCGTCTTGGGGCTCTCTTGGAAGCTTGGTCAGTTGTCTTCGAGAGGTCTGGGGGGCCTATTGGGCCGCCTTGGAGCGTCAGGAAACTGAAAAGGCGAGAACTCGAGAATCCTTTAAAAAACCTGCGGAAAATCAACGATGTTTGCCTCTTCAGGAGTTGTTTCGAGGCCTTCGGGAGTCCTCTTAGGGCCTCTGGGAAGCCTCTTGGGGGCCTGGGGGCCTCTCGTGGGCCACTTGGGTGCTCCAGGGAGCCTCTCGCGGTGGGAGCGCGGAATGTCGGTTCGGGTTACCTCTCCTGTGCCTTTCTTGGGGCCGTCTTGGAACGCTCTTGGGCGCCTCGGGCGCCGTTTCGGGGCCTCTTGGGCCCTCTTGGAGGCCTCTTGGGCTATGGTGGAGGCCTCTTGGGCTATGGTGGAGCGGACATTGGGGCCTCTTGGGCCGTCGTGGAGCGTCGGGAAACTGAAAAGGCGAGAACACGAAAATCCTTCAGAAACCCATGGAAAATAATCAATGTTTGCCTCTTAGGGCCCTCTCGGGAGGCCTCTTGGAGGCCTCTTGGGCCTTCTTGGGGCCTCTTGAAGAGTCTGGGGCTAATTCTGGGGTCATCTCTACTGTCATTAGTCGTTTTGGCGGTCCGGAAGGGCGATTTCTGGCAGTCCAGGGCCGTCTTCGGGCGATCTCGAGGGCCCCCGGCGCCCTGGAAGCGCCCTGGGGCCCCCGGGACACATCATTTGTGGTCGGGGAAGCGGTCCCGGGGCCCCCGGGTCCGGTCCTCCGTTGTGTGCAGATGTCCCGCCCGCCCGATCCCACCCGCCCGGTAGGGTCCGCCTGTTGACCTGGCTAGCCCGTCAGGGTCCGCCCGCCAGTCTCGACTCGCCCGCCCGACCGACCCGCCCGTCAGGCTGCAGTCGCGCCAATCCGATAATGCATTGTATTTGCGTGCCCCGCCCGCCCGACTCGACCCGCCCGTTAGGTCCTCCCGTTCGACCGGACTCGCCCCTGTTCTCGCTCTTGTTTCCGCACCCGTTTCCATTCTCCTTCACGCCTTCATTCTCGCTTTCGCTTCTGCCTTTGTTGGGGGGAGACTCTGCCAACCACCTGCTCCGCCCGGGAGTTGAGGAGCTTCGACGGGGCAGTGACCGCGGCCCAGGCACTCAAGGTTCAAAATTGGCAGTGGCTTTGAGTTTCCCGACGATGAACGATCTGGCATTCCGCGATGGCAGAACCACGCGCTGTCAGAAACTAGTACCGACGTTGACGCGATTGGAATCATTTGCACGTTCAGTCGCCGCTTCGGTGATCGCGTCATCCAGTCATTCATTCCTCTCACACGTGTGAATTTTTGTTCACACGCGAGTGGCATGCCATCTTTGGCAAGGAACCCGAGGGGAACCAACAAAGGTTGGACCTGGCTCATCACTTGCTCCTCACCTTGGGCTTCCCACGCCCGTCTTTCGCTTTCGTTTCCGCCCTCGTTCTCGCATTCGTTCCCGCCGTCGTGCCGCTTTCCTTTCTCCTTCGTTTCCGTTCTCGTTCTCGCCTTCGTTCTCGCCTCCGTTTCGCTTTCGTTTCGCTTTTGTTTCCGTCTCTGTCCAGCGTTCGTTATTGTTTTCGTTTCGTATTCGTTTCGCCTTATTTTCTGATCTCGTTTTCGTTTTCGTCCTCGTCTTCGTTTCATGTTCTTTTCCGCCCTTGTTCTCGCCTTCGTTTCGTCTTCGTCTGTCTTTGCATCCGCCCTCGTTTCCCGCCTTCGTTTCGCGTCGTTTCTGCTCTCGTTTTCGCCTTCGCTCTCGCCTTCGTGTCGCCCTCGTTTCGTGCTCTCTTACGTTTCGTTTCCGTCTCGTTTCTTTCTGCGTTCTCGTTTTCGTTTCGTTTTGATATCCGCTCATGTTCTCGCATTATTCTCGCCTTCGTTTGGTCCTCGTTTCCGTTCTTGTTTCCGCCTTCGTTATAGCCTTCGTTTCGCCTCCAGTTCCGCCCGAACCAAGTGGGTCTTGCCTAACCGAGCCTCCAGGTCATATCAAACCAACCGCGCTTTCCCAAGCCAAGCGGGTCTAGCCAGACCAAACCCCCAGGTTTTCCTAAACCAACCAGGTCTTCCCAAACCACTCCCCCGGGTCTTTCCAAACCAACCGGGTCATCCCAAACCAATGGGGTTTTCATGTTTTTCTGTAAGCGTCTTGGCGAGGGAACGGGGGGAGGACGACATCTTCACCAGGCACATGGCTGGGAGGAGGAAGAAGAGGACGAAGAGGAGGAGAAGCGACACTGGCCAGCAAAGGAAGGGCGAACAGTGGAAAACAATGCAAGAGACACGACCGAGAGAACACCACGAGAGAGAGGGAGAGAGAGAGTGAAGTTCGCTGCCCGTCAAGAGGGCGATCCTCCCAATGGACATCGACCATACAAATGGCACAGGCGATCATCTCTGCGTGGAAGCTGCTGTAACCGAGCCTCGCCATGGTTCCGCAGCCGGGCTGGTGTGAAAGAAGTGCTAAGACATGTGTTTCAAGTCATGGTAGGCTTTATGTCCAGGGCTAGAACTACGGAGGCCGAGGCTTCATGGGGCATGACAAGGAGGAGGAGGGGGAGGGGGACGAGGAGGAGGAGGCGCACCAGGACGAACGCTGTCAGGAGGACCGCAACGACGAGAATTTCGCCTCCGTTTCGCTTTCGTTTCGCTTTCGTTTCCGCCCTCGTGCTCGCATTCGTTCTCGCCTTCGTTCCGCTTTCGTTTCGCCTTCGTTTCTGCTATCGTTCTCGCATTCGTTATCGTTTTCGTTTCGTTTCGTTTCGCCCTCGTTTCTGTCTTGTTCTCGCCTTCGTTTCGTTTTCGTCTCGTTGTTGTTCCCGTCTGGCTCTTGCCTTTGCGTTCGCTTTCGTTTCGCTTTCTTTTCGCCGTAGTTTCCGAGTTCGTTCTCGCTTTCGTTCGCATTTTCGTTCTCGCTTTCGTTTCGTCGTCGTTTCTCTTTCATTTCCACCCTCGTTCTTGCATTTGTTTTCGCTTTCGTTTCGTCTTCGGTTGTTTTTGTATCCGCCCTCGTTTCCCGCCTTCATCTCGCCTTCGTTTTGCATTCGTTTCGCTTCCGCTCTCGTTCTCGTTCTCGCCCTCGCTCTCGCCTTCATTTGGTGCTCGTTTCCGTCTCGTTCCCGCGTTCGTTATGGCCTTCGTTTCGTTTTGGTTTCCGTTCCGTTCTCGTTCCCGTCTTCGTTATCGCCTTCATTTCGCTTCCAGTTCAGCCCGAACCATGGGCGACGCAAAAAACGGCGTTGTTTTCGCCGACATTCGCGCGCAAGCTGCCCGCGTAAGGTCGCGCGTAAGCGCCATCGTCTCGATTGTGGTGTGCCGCGCTGGCGGCCCGCGTAAGCCGCCGCGTAAGGCTTAAGGTCCCTAAGCCATCTCGCGTATGACCCGTTTCTTTTCATCGTTCAAGTGGGTTTTTGCCTAACCGAGCCCCAGGTACTAGCAAACCAACAGCGCTTTCCCAAACCAAGCGGGTCTAGCCAAACCAAGCCCCCAGGTCTTCCCAAACCAACGGGGCCATCCCAAAAGCCAAGCCCCAGGGTCCTCCCAAACCAGCTGGGCCTTCCCAAACCAACCAGGTCATCCCAAACCAACCGGGTCTACCCTATCCAACCAGGTCTCCCCAAACCAACAGGGTCATCCCAAACCGCGCCCCCAGGTCTTCCCAAACCAACCAGGCCATCCCAAATCAACCCCTGAGCCCCCCCAAACCAAATGGATCTTCCCAAACCCCAGGTCAGCCTAACCGAAGGTTTGGTTTTGGAAGGCCCGTTTGGTTTGGGAAGAACGCTCCCCTGTTTTGATGGGGGCCTCTTGGGGGCGTTTTCGGGGCCTGTTGGGCTGACATTATCAGCGTTCGCCGTGCACGCATGAGTAAACGGGCGAGAACCCACGTATACACACGGCGGGCATCGGGAGCCCGTTCGAAAAAAAAACTGGCGATCACGCGCGTGATCGGCCCCGCCCCCCCCCCTCCTTTTGGAGTCAAGTCGCGGCGGCCAACGCCTTGTGGCGTTCGCAGGCTACTGTGGTGTTCAGGCATGTTTTTCCCCACATCCAAAAGTGGGGTTCTTGTTTTTTCTGCACACGCCGCGCAGGATCTCACCCCCCCCTCTCTTTCCTCTCTCTCTCACACACTCACCATCATCACCATCATCATCACCATCATCGTCACTACACGCACACACTCATCATCATTACCATCATCCTCACCATCAATCACCATCACCGTCATCACTACTCATCATCATAATCCTGCATCACTACTCATCATCATAATTTTCATCATCAACGTCACCATGATCACCACTCGATCACCCACTCACTCATTCAATTACTCACTCATCCTCAGTCGGCTTCGGAGGCAGTGGTCCTCCGACAGTAGGACCGCCGCCACTCTCAACATCATCTTCACCATCTCCATCATAATCTCTCGACCACCCACTCAGTGGCCATCATGGTCATCATCATCACCATCACTCATTCATCACACACTCATCATCATCATCATCATCATCATCATCATCATTCACTCACTCATCAATTCGTCATCAGTCACTCCCTGGCTTGAATATGGAGGTAGCATCAGGCGGGAACCTCGTCTGTGAGTGATTTGTGAGGAAGTCTCA